ACGACCCTTTCACAGGGGTCACCTAAGACCATTGGAAAACACATATGTTTTCAAAAAAAAATACGGAAAACATAAAATAATTTTATGATTGGGGGGGTCACCACAACATGAGGAACTGTATTAAAGGGTCCCGACATTAGGAAGGTTGAGACCCACTGGGCTAGACCGATGTTGCTCAACCTTTGCGACTTTTAAGGACTTCTACTCCCAGAATTCCCCATCCAATTTGAGAGTTGAATTCCACAGGTCTTAAAATGATCAAAGTTGAGAAATGTGGGGCAGATAGACCTTCTGATGGTTTCCCCCAAAGCTGGAGGGGTCAAATTGAGATGAACTGCTTTGACAGCCCACCTCCCCAAATATGGATTGTCTACCCAAGCCAACTCTTTCTTGGACAGGTAGTTAACTAAACCCTTCCAGTTGAGTCAAGGGTTTATAGTATTTATTTATATCTCAACCTTTATCTAATGATTAGTCCTTGGGCCATATCAAAGTACAGAGTTCCAGAAACAAATTGTTACTAAAATTTGATAAAAGCAATTTAAAATGGAATTGGATAAAATACAATTTAAAATGAAATTAGAATAAAATACAGTCTAAATGAAATTGGAATAGAATACAATAATTTAAGATATAGGTGAAATATGATAAAAATTATATTTCGGTGTCACCCCTGCAATCTACTCCAATCAGTTCAACCTATGCCAATCTCAACCAAACCGTTTAGCTTAAGTCCCATGCTGGGTTAAATGTTAATTTCAGATTCTGGCTACACAGAAGGTAAGTTGTTTTGATATGGTGAACCCAATGGATCATTTCTTTAGTATATAGAGTGATACTACTTTATAGTATTTATAGCATTTATTTATGGTAGCTTCGCTTCTTTCCTTGAATGCTTAGTCTAAGCTGAAGACCAATGTATAAAAGAAGAGTACCGTATTTTTCGGACTATAAGACGCACCGGAGTATAAGACACACCATGATTTTGAAGAGGTAAATTTAAAAAAAAGTTTTTGCACTCTGCAGGCCTCCCAAACTCTCTGCATGCCTCATTTGCGCGGCCGGGGCAGGGTGGGGGGTGAGGGGAGAAGGGCATATGCATAGCTTAGGGAAGCTTGTAGAATGCTCCCGGGGTTTGGGGGGGGGGGTGCGCAAAAACGGCCCTTTTTTGCTCATTTTTGCCCTCCCTAGCCCCCAGGAGCACTCTGGAAGCCTCCTAAAGGCTATGCATGCCCATTTTTGCAAAGGGGACAGGGTTTCGGGAGGCCAAAAATGCTGTATTCAGTGTATAAGTGGAACCCAGATTTTTGCCCTCTATTTTGAGGGGGAAAGGTGTGTCTTATACTCTGAAAAATACGGTAATTTGTCATGAGTTGACCAGAGTTTCGGAGGGGCAAAGGGGGGCGGGGAGTCCAGATTCTTACCACTGAATCCTTCCTGGCAGGTGCAAATGTAGCTGCTGGTCATATCCTTGCAGGTTCCACCATTCATACAGGGGTTGGACTCGCACTCGTTGTTATTGATGTCACAGTTTGTCCCACTCCAGCCCGGGTCGCAATTGCACTTGTAGCTTTGATTCCAGGAGAGACAAAAGACAAAGCATGAAACGATTGGATTGGGCTGGTTTTCTACACTCCATTCCATTCATCCCTATTCTATTCTATTCTATTCTATTCATCCCTATTCTATTCCATTCCATTCCATTCATCCCTATTCTATTCCATTCCATTCCATTCATCCCTATTCTAT